CAGCAGAACTGTCAAGTTGGCAGGTGGCTGTATAGATTTGGAGCTTGGAAGGGAGAGGCCAGGCAGGAGAGAACAGATTTGGGAGTTGTATGCACATGGCAGTGAGGCCATGGCAGTGCCTGGGGTCACCCAGGGAGAAGGTACTGAGAGGGCAGCCAAGGATCAGGCTGTGAGGAGCCCCAGCACTTAAAGGCCACTCAAAGGAAGAGGTGTGCAGAGGAGAGCCCAGAAGACCAAAGAAAAACTAGAGGAGGGCAGGCCCAGTACTTTGAACCAAGAGCTCTTCCCTTATGTTTGCCTGTCACTCCCTAGAGAAACACTCTTCCTTGCCCCAGAGGCCTGACGTCTTGCCAGAGAGGTATCCTACCTGAGGGTTCTCTGGCAAGCCTTCATTAGTTCTGGTCACTCTTGGGACTGAGCGAATGCTTCTCAGCCCAGCATTCAAGGCCTTTGGATATGGCCCCTACTAATCTCTCTAGCCTTCTCGTCTACCCTATCCTAGATTCCAAAGGCCCATCCCAGGCCCCTGCCAGCCAGCTCCTGGGTATGTGGTGCCATTCTGATTCTCAGTCTTAAATGCTTTCCCTGTACCCAGCCCCTCCATGGACTGCCTGACCCCTAAGAAGGTGCCAGCTTTCTGATCCATTGTCCCCTCCTGATTCCTTTTTTTTTTTTTTTTTTTTTTCAGTTTGTTTAGTTGTTTGAGAGAGAACGTGGATAGGGCAGGGGCAGAGAGGGAGAGAGAATCCCAAGCAGGCTCTGCGCCAGCATAGAGCCTGACATGGGGCTCAAACTCACAAACAGTGAGATCGTGATCTGAGCTGAAATCAAGTCAAGACATTTAACCAACTGAGCCAGCCACCCAGGCTCCCCATCCTGATTCCTTTCTTGACTCTTCAAGAACTAAGCTTACTCTTTGGGGTCACTACCATACCTCACCTGTCCCAGTGGGATCCCACTTGTCACACTTCGTGGCATTTACTTAATTTGCCGAGAACTAGGGATCACCTCCCCAGAGGAAGGTGATCATCAAACACAAATTTGCATGTACTTTCAGGAGGTGGGAGATCCACATTAATAACTGGGGTCCTTGAGAGCAAGGTCCATCTTACTGGTCTCTGGACAGAGGTACTTTTGACTGAAAGCGGGACTGAGCAAGTTAGAGATGAGGGTTTCTCTCATTTCAGGATCATGGTTTTGGCAGGAGACACATTGCCCATTGAGGTATACTGCCATCTCCCAGTTATGTGCGAGGACCGGAATTTGCCCTACGTCTATATCCCCTCCAAGACGGTAAGGAGCACACGACCCCCGCCCCAGTCTTGGTCAGCATTGGAACAGCGGGTGTGTGATCAGGTCTGTGGGAGCAGGCCACAGTGGGAAAGAACACAGGCTCTGGAGGCAGACTGGAATGGATCCTTGGCGCTACCGGCTCCCGGTTGAGGGACTGCACGTTGACGCTTTGCACTTCACTTTCCTTCTTGTGAGCTGGGAATCCTTGCCCTCGTGGACCATGGGAATGGAAAAGGAGGTGTGTGTGGATGTGCTGTCGACCAAGATGCAGTGCTTGTGTTAGTCCCGTTAGGCGGCTGCTGTGCTTGGGGAGGAGTGGGCATTCAAGGGGCTTGTGCAGCTGGCCTTATCCTTATACAGGGGCCGTGGCCCAGAGAGGAGGTTGGCAGGGACCAGAACACAGGTCCGGCCTAAGGAGATAGCCTCTGCTGGGCCGGAGCCCATTTGTGCTTGCTCTGTGGCAGTGTAGGCCCAGTGTTGCTGGACCTGACTCGAAAGTTGGCAGAGTTGAAATGATGGTGTCATGCAGACCGCACGGCACTTGTCTGTGGGCTGGATGAGGCCAGCAGGTCATGGGTCTTGCAACCTTTTTTCCCCTGCTCCACAGGACCTGGGGGCAGCCGCAGGCTCCAAGCGCCCCACCTGCGTGATCATGGTCAAGCCCCATGAGGAGTACCAGGAGGCTTATGACGAGTGCCTGGAGGAGGTGCAGGCCCTGCCCCCACCCATGTGAAGGACTCGGACACTTGCTCCGGAAGTGGTTGGTCTGGCAGTGGGCCAGCTGGTTGTCCTCCTGCGGCCTGTGTCTGTGCATCGCCCTGGTCCCCTGCAGCATGTCTTCTTCCCGGGCAGCTCCGCCGGCTCTTTTGTGAAGGCATAGCCGGAATGTTCCGTTGAGCATTGGTGAAGACCACTCCGAGGGTATAGTGTGGGGGAAGTAAATGCTAAGACTAAAAGGTGGTGAGTCTGTGGGTGTTTTTTTTCAGCGGCAGGTGCTGCTGGGCCAAGGAGGTGGTGGGCAGGAGGGAGTAGAAGCAGCCATTCTTGGCAGACAACCCGAAGGACTTACAGGGTGTCCCAGGCTGCTGCCAGACCCAGGCTGAGTCTGGGCCCTCCCATGGCCATGGTAGGTGGCCTCAGGATGAGGCCACTGCAGCCAACCCCATGCCCAGAGCCTGCAGCCCCTGCGCTGGGCACACCCCCATTCCTTTCTTCCTTTCCCTGCCCCTACGAGCCTGAAATGCCACTGGGAAATTTATGGAAACCATTTACCCACGTGGCACAGCAAATGTGAAAGAGGGGTATGAAGCTAGAAACAAAACCCTGGGCCACCGTTCCTACTTGGCACAATGACCCCGGTAACCCAGTCCCTTCAGACATTTCAGACTTAGGGTGCCTTCCTGCTCTCTAAGGCCCAGCACAGGGCTCCATGGGTACACACAGCGACCAAGCTCCATGTGCCCTGGGGTAAACTGAAAAGAGCTTGAGACTGAGGGTCGGATCTGGTTTAAATTCTGAGCTCTCTCCTTTATAAGCTGTGAGCCCCGTAAGTCAACTCAGTTTGTCTTCCTAACTCCCCTCGCACTGCTTCCTAGTAAGGAGAGGAAAAGACTTTATACATGTTTGTGTAAAAGCATCTTGCCTGGGGTCTGACATCACCGGGCCCTTTCACCCAGTCAGGGATGCAAAGTGGGTTCTCTCTGGGTACATTGGGCGTGCAGTGATTCCTTGTCGGTGAAGTAAGGAGAAGGCCTGTGAATATATTTGCTCAGTTATAAAACCACGGCATTCAGTTCAAACCTGACTATTTACAGTGGGAAGTGGATACATACAGTTGTGAGGCTGTACCACTGGAGCAGCAGATACAGCATGGGTGTAGCCATCAGCAACCCGGCTGAGGGCAGGATGCCAGGACTGGGAAGATGTCCGTGTTGCCTGCCAAGTCCTCTGCCTCTCTGTTGGCTGTGACTAAGTCAGTGGCAGATACAGATAGGGAAACGGCAGGAGTGCAGAGGCCAGTGTCTGCCTACCTTCATGGCCAAGGAGCCAGCTGCCTGGCACAAACTGGTTCATCTCCCTTCTTGGCCTCTGCCTGGAGTGGCACTCGGCCATTTGCGCTGAAGTGAACCACAATCCACAGACAGCAGCTACCCCCGCGTAGACAAGACCAAGGCTCAAGGGTGAAAAGCCCTTTTGCAAAGTTCCTCCCAGGCGGGTATCAGAATATGATGCGTTTCCCGTCAGCTGGGTTCTGCTCCATGGGACAGTAGGGACACTTGAGCCTGCAAAGGGAGGAGAACAAAGAGTGTCTCAGGGGCTGGCCAGCAGGAGAGCGAAAGGGAGGTGGAGTAGAACCCGGGGAACTTACTTTCCACCGTTAATGAGCTTGTTGAGCGCATCTCGAGAGATCACGTGGCCGCAGATGAGCTTGATGGGAGGGTTGGAATCTGACGTCTGCTGCCGTAGGATGGGGCAGGCAAACACCGAGTGGTACCAGCACTTCATGCCCAGTTCGATCTCGATCTGGGGGTGGGGGCACCACGGAGGGGTGAGCCCCACTTCTGGCCACGGCTGCCCTTCCTGGTGCTGCCACCAGCCCACACCTCCCCCCCGCCAGGCCTCACCGGTAACTCATCCTTGTGACTCCAGACCCCCGTGCACTGCCGCTGCTCAATCACAGCCTTGATGTTCATCAGCACCGGCAGCGCCACACAGCCAGAGGCAAAGCTGTGGAACAAAGAGCAGGGGCTGCAGTGGCCCAGACCAAGGACCCAGCGGACAAAGGCACCAGCACACTGTTGTTGGCTTGTGTCCTGGGACAGGGTTCTAAAGTGGCACATGGTCAGATTGGTCCTTGAAAATCGCGCCGGTCGCTCATAAAGTGCCACGTGTGGTTAATGTGTGTCCAACTCTAGGATCATTCTAACGCACCCCTGAGTTTGTGAACCTATGGGAGAGACAAAAGGAAGATCTAGGGGGCAGATCCCTGCTCGTCCAACTACTGGAATGTCATTGCTGTGTTAGGGACAGTGATCGGTTTGCAGGGGCCCCAGCCTGCCTGTCTCCCCTGCTCTGTTGTCATAATGCACCTCTGACTGGTTGTCTACATGGTTGTCATCACTTGGAAACGGGGGGAAGACTCAGATCTCACAGTGACTCAGGCAGGGGTGGGGAGTCGACTGGCTGGCGCCTCGGGTGCTAAATACCTATGATGCTCAGGGAAATCGTGCACTACAGAACCATCCTGAAGTGCCACTGGTGTCCCTGCTGGGAAACACTGTTCTATAACGTGAATCCTTCACCCTGGGGAGGGGAGGGGAGGGGTAGGAGACTCCACAACCAGTCTAAATAAAATGGCACCGTGACGCTATCCGTTGTGGTACAGCCTGGGGTTCTGGGGTCTGTGACGCCCTGAGCAAGTTCATTTGTGCGTCGAGCCTGTGTGTTTCCTCATCTGTAAAATGAGGATATCCACCTGCAACTCACGACCTTGGGGAGTCATGAGAACATTACTGTAAAGGAGTCTTCCAAGGGAAAAGTCTCAATACATGTTACTCAGCCACTTTGAAATCTCCCTGAAGGGACGTGGTTTGAGATATGAGGTTGAGAGGACAGGCTGCAGGGGGTCTTGTGATAATTCAGGGGTGAGGTGCAGGCAAGACAGAGACCTCATTCCAAAGACCTTACAGAAGGGGAACGTTGACCCTGCCCCTGACCTTGCAGTGACATCAGGCCACAACTCTTCCTGATCTCAGCTTCTCCACCTGTAAGAACAGGTAACTCCTACCTGGAGGAATGACTGAAAGAGCCAGTTTAGGTTTGAGAGAACCAAGCACCATCCCTGGCACATGACTGGCCTCGGCAAACTGTTTCCCTGGAAACCCTCCCGCTGGCGCTGCCCCCACAGGGCTGCCTGTACCTGACGCTGAGGGGTGACTCCACCGAGAGCCCCAGCAGGGAACAGGCATCCCGGGTAAAGGTCTCGCAGATCTCTGCCCAGTGGCTGTTGTCCAGAAGGTGGCAGTAGGGCGACTTCTCCAAGCCCAGCCGCAGGTACACCAGACTGCCCATCATCACCTGGATTTCTACAAGGTGAGCAGGGCACAGGTTGGTGCACGGGCTGGGGAGCAGGGCACAGATCTGGGTGCACGGGCTGGAGAGCAGACTGAGCCCCGCAGTGCCCAGGGCCCTGAACAGGCTGAGGGGGCGATGAGATGCCCTCGGGCAAAACCAGTTTTCCCTAAAGTCCCATGTGGAGGCGGAGTCTCTTCATGTGTGGGGCAAAGAAGCATCCTCGCAAGGCAATCAGGAGAGTGTGACTTCGCTGCCCATCCTTTCAAGTGCACGATGAAGAGGGAGTCTCCCTCACGTTTCTCTTACCCCAACACTAGCTACTCTCCCTGTTAAAAAAACTTCCAGGTGGTATCTAGATTTATTAACAGTGCCTGGTTTTCATAATTTCACAAATAAAATGTGAGGTGATAAGTAGATAGAAACAGAGCTAAAGAAAAAAGGGACCAATGGTAGGGATGGTTACTAGCAGGGAACATCTGGAAAGTGAGGCTCAAATGACTAAGGTGTGGAAACGCTGGTGTGACAGAAGGTTCATGAAGAAAGCTGTGGAGGACGTGCCGGGAAGGAGTGGGATTCTCCTAGGTGGGAGGCCTATATTGAGGCCAGGCAGCATGAGGGCGTGCGTGTCCCGGGCACACACAGACCCGCCCTGCTGAGTGTGGGTGTGGCACAGAGCAGGTGTCAGGGACCAGAGTGGTCTGAGATGATGGCAGAGGTAGATGCAGAGGAAGAGCCTTGAGTTCGGAGTTCACCTCGGAGACAGTGAGGGAGCGGTCAGAGTTCTCACGCTGGGGAACGGCATCCTGGTTACATGCAGCCCCTCAGGTGGGGCAGGGACCAGCAGCCCAACAGCCTGACCCATGCTGACACCTGCCGGGGTCCAGCAGCACCCCCCTGGCACCCTGAGCGCGTACCTCGCTGGTGCAGCCGTGCAAATGGCTGAAAGTGCCGGGCATAGCTGAGGGCCTCTAGCTGCTTCTCGGGGCCGCTTGCCAGGAGCCGGATGAAGTGCAGTCGGTGCAGCTTGAACTCCAGGGAACTGTTGAGCTCGAGCAGGCGCTGCCTGTGGGAGATGGCCCACCTGGGAAAAAAGGGAGCCGGTGGGGTACGAGAGGGGTCCTGGGAGAGCTGGGACTGAGGTGGGCTTCAAAAGCCTAAGTGAGGCCCATGACACAGGGCTGGAGTCATGTCAAGTACACTGGGTGACACGGAGACCACAGACATGCCCTGTGCCCCTCTGGCCCATCTAAGGACTAACTTACTCCAACGCCGGCCCTAGGTCTTGTTCGTGCAGAGCTTCCAGGATTCGATTCAGCTCCAGGAAGGGTTGCTTAAAGTCCAAGTCCACATTCAGGGTGGATTCCTGTGGGGGGAGAGCGCAGTCCCATCGCTGGACATTCAGTTCAGAACATTTCAGTTCTATAAGGCTGAGCGTTACATGCTGGCCTCCCAGGGCGCAGACTACACACCCGCCCCAGCCCCAGGGTCTGAGACCTGCGTGGAATAGCATGGTGAGAGCATTGTTCCTCTTCAGGCCTCTTGATTACATTAGGGAAAGCATCCTTTTACTGTTTGTGTGTTTTTAACACCTAACAAGTGCTACTTTGTCGTTTCACTAACCTGTCTATTTAAGAAAGGGCTATTGGGCCTCAACTCAGAACACTGGCAGGCAACCAGCTCTAGCTAGAAGTTCTGACTTCATGACTTCACTTTCCATCATATATATGTTTAGAGCTACCTTCTATTTAGGCAGGGGAAATGATTTCCTTTCTAAAACGAACTTCTGTAAAGAATAACAGGAACCTGACATAAAGACAACTATCAAGCGGGAGCAGAACGGGCAGGTGCCAGCACCGTCCAGGCCAGGCCGTTACCTGACACAGCTCCTCGGCAACACTGAGCATGCCCTGCTGGTACAGGTGCTCCACGATGGCCATCTGTAGGATCTGCTGCTGCTTCTCCCGTGAGTCCCACACTGCGTCGGAGACGACACCACAGATCTCAGAGTCAAAGTTCTGACGAGGACAAGAGACAGGGCTCGGTGACTCAGCATCCGTGCTGCTCACGCTCACTTTCCCACCTCCCACCGAGCCCGACACACTAGCTCCAGGGCATCCCCACCCCCAGCCCAGGGATGCCCGCAGGCTCACCCTGTCGATGGCTTTGCCCACTCGAGAGACGCTGCTGTGAATGTCCTTGTGGTCCGAAGCCAGTTTCTGCACAGTGTCTTTGATCTTCCGGCAGCACTGGGACATCACCAGGGAGAGGGTGGCAGAGAGAGGGGTCCCCTGGAGGGCTGCAGGGAAATACCGGCAGTGAGGCAGGACACAGAGGAGCACACCTTGTCCCTGCTTCCTCTAAACACCAGCCTGGAGGCCCGGGAGGAAGCCCTGAACTCCCGAGTAAAGATCTCAGCTTCTGTCCCACGTCCTGCCACTTTGTAACTGCATGCCTTGGAGCTGGTCAAGTGGGCCAAGTGGGTTCATCTCTCGGTTCATTTCCTCACCTGTAAAATGGTGTGACAATGCCAGCCCTGTACGCTGCTGTGAAATGTAGATGATTTGGGACTTCCTGTGGGTAAGCCCTTAATTTTAGCTCATTTAATCCTCACCACCGTGCTCTGCAGTGGGCACTATGAATATCCCGTCCTGTAGCTGAGGAAGCTGAGGCAGGAGCTTGCCAGGCGACAACAATGACAGATGTAAAACCACCACCACACCTGAGGGCTCTTTATGGTCTTGTGTAAGATACCACATGTGAGAAGGCTTTGAACAACAAGGCACTATCCCTGTGTTCGTGCCTTTTATCAACCCAGAGGATACTGCCAGGGAAGCTCAAGGATATTTCTGGCTCACGCCCCCAGGCCTGCAATGGTTTTCAGACCCCTCCTCCAGCCCAGCATCGATGCGCCTTCTTTAGGCAGCAGCACCTTGGGTCAGGGAAAGAAACAAGACCCAAGAAGGTCGGGGAGTGTCTCAACTCCAAGACCAGACGCCCTGGAAGATAGATGCATTCTGCTAAGATGCTGAACAATCACGATGGGAACTGGAGCTTCTGGAGCACTGTGACTACCTCAGAGGAGCAGTGCTCCAAGTATGAAGCCAGCATACACTGAGCGGATCACGTGAGCACCTGGACGCAGCTGAGCCTGGACATTTCAGTGACCCAAGTCCATAAATCCAGTCTTCCCGACCCCCGCCTGTTGGTTTAAGCTGGTCTGAGCTGAGTTTCTGTCACTTGTTTTTGGTTTCTGTTTGTTTTTGAGAGAGACAGTGTGTGTGTGAGCAGGGGAGGGACAGAGAGAGAGGGGATGAAATCCCAAGCAAGCTCCACACTGCCCGATGAGTAGCTCAAACTCACAAACCGTGAGATCATGACCTGAGCCAAAGTCAAGAGTCGGACCCTCAACCCACTGAGCCACCCCAGCACCCCCAGGGTTGTCACCTGTAACTGAATGTATCCTGACAAATACAGACAGGAGGCAGTGGATGGGCCACCCTCCTATGCTGGGGAGATGGGGCAGGACTGCATTCCACTCTGACATCAGTGCCACCTGCCCCAACCCCAGCTTGCCACTCATCTCTCATATTCTGCTCCATTCAGGTCACAGAGGGCCACACTCTGCACATTCCCTGGCCACATTCCTGTTAGGACAAAGCAACAGCTTTCAGGAAACCAAACCCTTTTTGTGTTTTTTTAAAGTAAGCTCTAGGCCCAACGTGGGGCTTGAACTCACGATCCCAAGATCGAGAGTCACATGCTCTACCAACTGAGCCAGCAAGGTGCCCCAAAACCAAAGCCTTTTAACCTGAAATCCCCAAATCTTCCCTGCCCAAGGACCCACGGACAACTACGAGCCCTGACAAATCCCCATCTGAGAAAACACAGTCTCCGTGTAAAGACGCTACGGCAGCCATCACCATCTGTTAACCAACAGCACAGTGTACAAGAGTTTCAGACCCACAGAAGGAAACCATTCTACTGCACACAGTTAACATGCCATCAAAGTCAAGGGCATTTGTTATAGCATGGCACAACCATATGATGGAATGGGAAGCCAAAAGGTACAAGGATGAGGTAGAATTCTATGTACTAATACAGAACATTCCCCAAAACAAACTAGGAAAGCAAGGTACAGGAAAGCATGTACTTTATTCTACCCTTTTTGCGTTTGGAAAAAAAAAAAAAAGAGGGGGAATAGACACACATGCCACCTATATGGGCACCCAGATGCTGTCTAGAAGGGCACCTGAGAAACCAGGGACAGGGCTTGACTTGGGAGAGAAGCACACAGACACTGGGAATCAAGGGTGAAAGGGAGACTCACTTTTCACTGTAAGCTTTTCTGACCTTAGTCTTTTTCCATGTGCATGCTTTCTTTAAAAAAAAAAAAAAAGATAAAAAGAAAACAAACTCTATACATTTGTTTTTCTCAGTGCTACTAGTGTAGCAACTCTGAAAATACTTTCTATGTACCACAGAAATCAAGCAGATGAGAAATTTATTGATGTTGTTCGGAGTCAGGCTTCTCACGGATGCAGAAAAGAGATTTGGCTATGGATGGGGGAAGCCTAGGAAGAACCCTGGATATTGGATTGAAATCAGAGGTATCCGCACAAACCCATGGCCTGCAACATACAAATATCTGTCTGCTAAAAAAACAGATACAACCCCTCAGTAACAACCCAGATCTTGCTTTCCAACTACCATTTTCCACCAAAAGAACCAGTCTCCTTGTAGAAAGAAATTACTGATTCCAGGAACTATCTTATTGTGTAGCCCAAGAAAAAATAAACTAGACTTTGTCAATATTAAAAATTTTATGCTTCGGGGGTGCCTGGGTGGCTTAGTCGGTAAAGCATCAGACTTCAGCTCAGGTCATGATCTCATGGTTCAGGAGTTCTAGCCCCGTGTCAGGCTCTGTGCTGACAGCTCAGAGCCTGGAGCCTGCTTCAGATTCTGTCTCCCTCTCTCTCTGCCCCTCCCCTACTCATGCTCTGTCTCTCTGTCAAAAATAAAAACATTAACAAAAAAATTTTTTTTTTAAATTTTATGCTTCAAGGCACCTGGGTGGCTCAGTCAGTTAAGTGTCTGACTTTGGCTCAGGTCATGACCTCACAGTTCATGGGTTCGAGCCCTGCATTGGGCTGTGCTGACAGCTCAGAGCCTGCAGCCTGCTTTGTATTTTGCCTCCCTCTCTCTCTGCCCCTCCCCCTCTGTCTCTGTCTCTCTCAAAAGTAAATAAACATAAAAAAAATTTTATGCTTCAAAGGATACTATCAAAAAAGTGAAAAGACATGACAGGTGCCTGGGTGGCTCAGTCAGTTAAGCTTTAAATTTTTTTTATGTTTATTTTTGAGAGAGACAGAGACAGAGTGCAATTGGGGGAGGGGGGGGCGGAAGGCGGTGTGCAGGTGTGCAGAGAGAGAGGGAGACACAGAATCCAAAGCAGGCTCCAGGCTCTGAGCTGTCAGTACAGAGCCCAACGTGGGGCTCGAACTCGTTAACCACAAGATCATGACCTGAGCCAAAGCTGGGCGCTCAACCAACTGAGCCACCCAAGCACCCCTCAGTCAGTTAAGCTTTAGACTCTCGATTTAGGCTCAGGTCATGATTTCATGGTTCATGAGATTGAGCCCTGCGTTGGGCTCTGCAATGACTGTGTGGGGCCTGCTTGGGATTCTCTCTCCCCCTTTCTCTCTGCCCCTCTCCCCCACTCTCTTTCAAAATAAATGAATAAACTTAAATATATATATATGTGTGTGTGTGTGTGTGTGTGTACACACACACACACACACACACACACACACACACACACACACACATATATCCACTAAGAGTCTACTATTAACATATAGGGGCGCCTGGATGGCTCAGTCAGTTGGGTGTCCGACTTCGGCTCACCATTTGTGAGTTCGAGCCCCACATCAGGCTCTCTACTGACAGCTCAGAGCCTGGAGCCTGCTTCGGATTCTGTGTCTGCTTCTCTCTCTGCCCCTCCCCCCACTCACACTCTGTCTCTCTCAAAAATAAAATAAAAACATAAAAAAAATTGTTTTAAGAATATATAAAGAACTTGTACAACTCAACAATAAAGAGAGCCAATTTAAAAATGGGAAACAATTAAGTAGACATTTCTCTAATGAAGATAAATGTTCAAGAAGCACATGAAAAGATGCTCAGCATCATGAGTCAGTAGGGAAATGCAAAGCAAAACCACAGTAAGATATCACTTCATACTCACTAGGATGGCCATAATCAAAAAAAACAGGTAAAAGTAAGTATTGATGAAGATAGGAGGAAATTGGAACCCACATACATTGCTGGTGGGAAGGCAAAATGTTGCAGCTACCTTTGGAAAACAGTCTGCCAGTTCCTCAAAAAGTTAACAGAGAGTTGCCACATGACCCAGCATAGAAAAAAAAATGCAAGTACTGATTAATACTGTAACGTGTCTGAGCCTTGAAAACATTATGCTAAGTGAAAGAAGCCAGACATAAAGGCCACATACTGTAGGAATGCATTTGTACGAAGTATCTTGGATAGGTAATCCATGGAGACAAAGTAGGTAAGTGGCTGCAGGATGTGAAAGAAGGGGAGAAATGGAGTGATTGTTGGTGGGTAGGATTCGTTTTTGGGGTGATGAAAATTCTGAAATTAGATAGTGGTAGTGATGGTACAGCCATGTAAATACACTAACAACCACTGAATTGCACACTTTAAAAGAATGAAACTTAAGGGGCACCTGAGTGGCTCAGTTAAGCGTCTGACTTTGGCTCAGGTCATGTCATGTTTTTTGAGTTCGAGCCCCATGTCAGGCTCTGTGCTGACACCTCAGAGCCTGGAGCCTGCTTCGAATTCTGTGTCTCCTTCTCTCTCTGCTCCTCCCTGTTCACACTCTGTCTCTCTCTCAAAAAATAAACAAAAAATGTTTAAAAAAAAAAAAAAAGAATGAAACTTAAACTACAGCTCAATTAAAAAAAAAAGGACATAGGAATTGGGTGACCTCTGGTCAAATCTAAGACAATTTAAGCATCAAAATAAATAGTAACAGTAATGGATTATAGCCCATCGAATAAAATAAGAATCTATGAGGTGTGAGCTAATAAATAAATAAATAAATAAATAAACAAACAAACAAACAAATAAATAAGTAAGTAAGTAAGTAAGGGAAAAAGGAAAGCTGAATGCCAATGAATACAGTGGACTCTTGAGCAACACAGGACTTAAAGGCGCTGACCCCATGCAGTCAAAAATCTGTGTATAATATTTGTTTTTAATTTTTTATTAAAAAAATGTTTTTAATGTTTATTTTTGAGACAGAGAAAGAGCACAAGCAGGGGAGGGGCAGAGAGAGAGGGAGACACAGAATCTGAATCAGGCCCCAGGCTCTAAGCTGTCAGCACAGAGCCTGATGAAGGGCTTGAACTCATGGACCGCAAGATCATGCCCTGAGCCGAAGGTGGACGCTCAACTGACTGAGCCACCCAGGAGCCCCATTTAATTTTGTATTTTAGAGAGACAGAGTGCACAAGTGGGAGACAGGGGAGGGGGAGGAGGAGGAGAGAGAGAGAGAGAGAGAGAGAGAGAGAGAGAGAATCCCAAGCAGGCTCCTCACCATAAGCGCAGAGCCAAATGTGGGGCTCAAACTCACAAACTGTGAGATCATGACCTGAACCAAGATCAAGAATCAGATGCTTAACTGACTGAGCCACCCAGGCACCCACCCCCCTTTTAAAAAGTTTATTTGAAGGTTTATAGCTTTAACTTTTTTTTTTTTTTTTTTTTAGTTTTTCTTTTTCTTAGTGTTTATTTTTGAGGTGGGGGGTGGGCAGACAGAGGGGGACAGAGGATCTGAAGTGGGCTCTGGACTGATAGCAGCCAGCCCAATGTGGGGCTCAAACTTACAAATCACAAGAGCATGACCCAAACAGAAGTCAGACACTCAACCAACTGAGCCACCCAGGTGACCCATCTCTTTTTTTTTCCCCCAGGAATAGAATTTAGTGATTCACCACTTACATATAACACCCAGTGCTCATTCCAACAAGTGTCCTCCTTAATGCCCCTTGCCCATTTAGCCCATTTTTTAAAAAAATTTTTAATTAATCTCTGTGCCCAATGTGGGGCTCAAAGTCATGACTCCAAGATCAACAGTCGCATGCTCTATCCCCTGAACCAGCCAGGCAGCCCTAACTTTTGATTCCCCCAAAACTTAACTACAAATAGCTTACTGTTAACTGGAAGCCTTATCAATAACATAAACAGTCAATTGACACATATTTTGTATGTCAGGCATTGTGTACTGTATTTTTATTTTATTTATTTATTTATTTATTTATTTATTTTCAACGTTTATTTATTTTTGGGACAGAGAGAGACAGAGCATGAACGGGGGAGGGGCAGAGAGAGAGGGAGACACAGAATCGGAAACAGGCTCCAGGCTCTGAGCCATCAGCCCAGAGCCCGACGCGGGGCTCGAACTCACGGACCGCGAGATCGTGACCTGGCTGAAGTCGGATGCTTAACCGACTGCGCCACCCAGGCGCCCCAGGTGGACCCTTCTTAACCAAGTAATCAAAGTTCACATCACCAATCATGGAACAAGCTGACACCTTGTACCTCCAGATATGATGCACTGAGAACCATACTGCTTCTAAAGTACTGCTACCCAAGATGTAAAATCTGACTGAGGAGGAAACAGCAGACAAGTCCAAACCAAGAGATATTCTGCAAGACCATTAGCCTTAGTGTTTCAAAAAAATTTTTGTAACATTTAGTATTTTTGAGAGACAGAGAGAAACAGAGCAAGAGCAGGGCAGGGGCAGAGAGAGAGGGAGACACAGAATCTGAAGCAGGCACCAGTCTCTGAGCTATCAGTACAGAGCCCGTTGGGGGGCTTGAACCCATGAACCACGAGATGATGACCTGAGCCGAAGTCGGACAGACAACTTAACCGACTGAGCCATCAAGGTGCCCCTAGCCTTAATTCTTCAAAAATGTCAAATGTCCTGAAAGACAAAGACCAAGTAAAAGAAATGTCCCAGGTTTAAAAAACCAAAGATTATGGGGTGCCTGGGTGGCTCAGTCGGATAAGTGTCCAACTTCGGCTCAGGTCATGGATTGCATGGTTTGTGGGTTCAAGCCCCCTGTCGGGCTCTGTGCTGACAGCTCAGGGCCTGGAGCCTGCTTCGGATTCTATATCTCCCTCTCTCTCTGCCCCTCCCCCACTTGTGCTTTGTCTCCCTCTCTCTCTCTCTCTCAAAAATAAATAACATTAAATTAAAATTTAATTAATAAATTTTAATAAATTTATAAATAAATTTATAAATAAATTTAATAAAATTAAAACATAAAATTAAAAAAGAAAAAACAAAGATGAGACATGGGAAACAATGTAGTGCATGATCCTGGAATGGGGAATAAAATTAAAAGGTTTTATGAAAACCATCGGACAATGATAAAATCAAAGTATGAGCTGAATTCATTAGGCCATCACATTGTATTAATATTTAACTTATTGATTTTAATAATTACACTGTACTTATGTAAAAGAATACCCTTGACCTTAGGAAATACACACTGAAAGTTTAGGGGCCAAGTGGTTTGAGATCTGCAACTTACTTTCAAATGGTGAAAAAGTAAGAGTATGCAAGAGAAGTGATAAAGCAAATCTGGCAATCATATCCACAGTTTGTAAATTTGGATGAAGAGTATATATGAGTTCTTTATACTATTCCTGGAACTTTTCTGTGAATTTGAAACTACCCCAAAATGTCTTTTTTTTGAAAGAAGAAAGCAAGTGGGGGAGGTAGAGAGTGACAGAGAGAATCAAGCAGGCTCTGCGCCCAGCACGGAGCCCCACACATGGCCTGATCGCATGACCCTGAGATCATGACCTGAGCCGAAATCAAGATTTGGACACTTAACTGACTGAGCCACCCAGGCACCCCTAAATTAGTAACTTCTGTTGGGACTTTTGAAATAGCTCAGAATGACTTCCATTATCCTTCAAGGAGGCCTAGGGATCCATGTACTGACGTCCACAAACCATCATCCTTCTAGAAGCCTGTCACCAAGCACCCCTGGGGTCTCCTAGGCTCCCCCCCGGAGGCAGACATGGGGCTCTCACGGGGGACACCCACCTGCATTGGCCAGCTCAGCCCGCAGCTGGCCCACGTAGTGTAACAGCTCCTCCAGGCTCTGCTCACAGTGCTGCCCGTAGGTCAGAAACTTCTGCAGGACCTTGTCCACCTCTCTCTCCACACTCGCACACTGCTCCATGGTGGCCTCTGCCTGTGGGCGGAAGGGGTCTGCTGCATCAGGCCCCACCTGGGCTGGGGGGGGGGGGCGTGGTAGGGAGGGCTCCCAGATCCCCCTCGCCACACCCATGTCATTTATCAATGCTCAGAAATTCCCAGCTTCAAATAGGAGTCCACAGCGCCCATCACTCCAGCCAGGGGGCCCTGTGGGGGGGTCCAGGCAAGCATAAGGACAGGTTTTCTGAATCATGGTGACAAAATTACTGTTTTCAACTCTTTTCATTCTATAATCCTTGTTCATCTCTTTTTTCTTTTAAATTTTAATGTTTATTTACTTTTGAGACACACACACACACACACACACACACACACACACACACACACACAGAATCCCCAACAGGCTCCAGGCTCTGAGCTGTCAGCATAGACCCCGACGTGGGGCTCAAACCCACGGACTGCAAGATCATGGCCTGAAGCCAAAGTCAGCCACTCAACTGACTGAGCCACCCAGGTGCCCCTTTGTTCATCTCTTTTTAATCAGAAGAAAGAGCAGGACTCCCAGAGCCTTCAGCAGACAATACTATCTAGTAGAAATACATACAGAGGCTGCCTATTTTCATATTTCATGTATTTTTATATATTCATCATAAGTGCCTTCTCTTTGGCTAGTGGACTTGGTTTTCCACATACCACAGTGATAGAAGCCACAAAGGCAGTCCTCGAATGGCTGATAACTGAAAATGCAGCCTAAAGAACAACTGTCCACCACTTGGGCCTGATGAGCTTTGCCTCAGCAAAGCATATTCAGCAGCCCTTGCTGCTCACCCACAGACAGGCAGCCTGTGTCCAGCCAGCCTGAACCCTTGCTCCCTCCAGGCTCCATGCTGCTTCTGCTCCCGGGCATGCTATTAGCCCTCAGTCGTCACTGCTTGAGAAGCTGGCTCATCCTTTCTGAGGCAGCTCAGAGATCACCTCCTCCAGCAGCCATCCCTAGCTTACTGCTGCTCGGCTCCCGCAACTCCCACATGGCCCCCTTGAATTTCAGTTTGGATCACCAGATAATGTGAGATATTTGAGTAAACTGGGTATTTGAGGGCCTGCCTCCCCCATTGGACTAGAACATCTCTCATCTTCTTCCCTCCCTTCTCATTATACCATTAAAAGAAAGCTGACTTTTCTTATACCACCACCAAGGTGTCTTCCTCAGTCCCTTCCACCCTGGGCCCACAACTCCCCTCTATTCCAGAGCAGCTTTTGATGCTGACCACATGGATAGTCCTCAAAATGTCAGTGACAGAGTTCCCTCCCTATCGTTCCATCCAATGGATTTGAAAGGAAAGGGCTCTCTTGAATGTTCAAATCTAGCCAGCTGTCCATTCTCTCAAAGAAGGGTCCAGAGTAACACACAAGAATCCCATGGCTGAGGGGACCGTCGGGATGCTCCCGGTTTCACGAGACTCCCCATTCACACCAGCAGTGCCAGCCCTGGCCTCATCATCTTGGCCCAGCCTGTAGCCCCCTCCTTCGCAGACAAGGGATGAGTGATGGGGAAATGGCAACCAGGGCCTAGAGATGTGGTTTTGCCTTCTATCCTTATGGCTGATGTCATCACACTAGAATTTGTAATCATAATTGTGATGTACAGAGGTCATGCCTCCCTCCTCATGCCCCCTGGGCAAATACCCTACAACTGAATATGAGCCATATGGGCAAAATATACCAGGGACTCCTGTCTGAAATAGTAATAATTATTATTACTCCTACTAATAATGTTTCATAGGGGCTTAACATGTGCCAGGCACTGTTCTAGCGACTTTGCGTGCATTAACTAATTTAGTGTTTGTTTTTTTTTTTAATTTTTTTTTTCAACGCTTATTTATTTTTGGGACAGAGAGAGACAGAGCATGAACGGGGGAGGGGCAGAGAGAGAGGGAGACACAGAATCGGAAACAGGCTCCAGGCTCTGAGCCATCAGCCCAGAGCCCGATGCAGGGCTCGAACTCACGGACCGCGAGATCGTGACCTGGCTGAAGTCGGACGCTTAACCGACTGCGCCACCCAGGCGCCCCTAGTTTTTTTTTTTTTTTTATGTTTATTTATTTATTTTGAGGGGGGGCAGGGGCAGAGAGAGAGAATGCTAAGCAGCCTCTGCACTGTTAGCCAGAACCCAACACAGGGCTCAATCTCACAACCATGAGATCATAACCTGAGCCAAAATCAAGGGTCAGACACTTAAGCAATTGAGCCACCCAGGCGCCCCGGATTTAATTCTTATCAAAACACCATGAAGTAGGTCTAGTTATTAGATCCATTTTACAGATGACAGAAGATTAAATAACTTGCCCAAGGTCATGAAGCTAAGAAAGGGGAGGACCTGGTAAGTGAAGCCAGGCAGTCTGGCTCCAGAGCCCTTCTCTGAAGCACTTCACATCACACTTAAACCAGCTTAAACAGGCCGCCATCTCACCAGGAGAGGGAAGCAGCCAGTATCTGTGGCTGGAATGAGTGCACAGCAATGATTAATGACACCAAGCAACAGAAAACCAACCACACAGCCTGTGAGATGATCAACTAGGAAAGATGGCACCACAAAAGAATGTTTGCCAAGAGTTGGGGAACCAACTAGGATCACAATCTACCAAAAACAAATATAGCTCAAGAAAGGTCAGGACCTCACCAAGGTCAAACAAGTCTAACCCTGTGGGACACCAACCGAGGCCAGGATTATCTAAGGGAAGCCCAAGTCAACCTCTCGAAATTGTATCAAAAAGCTGAGGGAGGAGTTGGGTACAAGGATTTTCACCCCAGCACTGTGTGTTGTGGCAGGAAGTGGAAGACAATCTAGGAGCCACGATGAGAGGCATTGGAGGGGGGAGGCGCTGATAAGTCAAGGAAGTAAAATACGGGAGATGCATCTATGGAAACCTGGTTAGCATTTAGAAGCCACCTCAGAGATACTCACAGGATCATCAATAAAATCCCAAAGACACAGCCCTGAAGGGGAAAAAAGAAACAAGGAACTCTAGGCAGAATACCATTTATGTAAATTAAAAATCTATGGGGACGCCTGGGTGGCGGAGTCGGTTGAGCATTGAGCGTCTGACTTCGGCTCAGGTCATGATCTCACAGCTTGTGAGTTCAAGCCCCATGTCAGGCTCTGTGCTGACAGCTCAGAGCCTGGAGCCTGCTTCAGATTGTGTCTCCCTCTCTCTCCGCCCCTAACCCACTCACATTCTGTCTCTGTCTTTCTCAAAAACAAATAAACATTAAAAAAATTTTTTTTTTTTTTAAATCTATGCGTACAACCAAGGACACAGGCAAATAAAAGGATTTACACTAAACATAGCAGGGTGGTTTCCTGTGGGCGGAGGTTGGGGGGAGAAGGAAGGAAAGGGGATAAAAGGGAATACATAAATAAATACAAAAGAGATAGAGGTCCTGCCTGAACCAGTTAAATGTATAACGAAGTGAGGAGTCTGATGAACTCAGTAAAATCTAAAATAAAATAAATAAGCCAGGAAAACAGAACTGCATGCAAGTATTCTACCCAAAAGCCCAGGAGGCTAATTCAGTGTGTCCACGGTGAGCCACTCTGCCTCAACCACAGTCGGTCATGTTCACCAGGCACTAGGATGGATGAGTGTGAGTTTGTCTTTGACAAGCTTCATGATGAATCCAGTGGAATTTCATGTCCATTTCCAGCCCTCCTCCCCAAGGTCTCACATGTACAGAAACGATCCACTAGGACGATCCCTTCAAACAACACATCAGACCCTGTCACCCCTTGACTCAACACTGCCTGGCTTGACGCACAAGCCGTGTGTAGTTACACATTCGCTTCCTTTGCACAAGCTACTCCTGTGTCCAGAGTGCCCTGTGCACTCCTCTGTATGGAGGCTGCAAGAAGCAGTTTAATCACCAGCTCCCCACAAGGCCCTCGACGAAATCCCCCCTGGTGTCTCCTTCTGGTTCGCAAACCTCTGTGGAAGACACCCATTCCACACTCCTCTGAGTCCTCAGCACTGTGGCACAGTAACTGCCTCTTTACAGGTCTCCTACTAGACTGTGAGCTGCTCAGGGCTGGAGGCCAATCTTGTCCTCTTTCTCCCCTCAGCACCCAGCCCAGGGCCTGGTCCACAGTGGCTGTTCAGTGAATTCTTGCTGATTAAATGGCGCATCCATCTCCTAACCGTTGGGCTAGGGGACCTGAGCTTGAACCTGCAGGGGGGTGGACAGGAAGACACATGAATAAAGTATTAAAATCCCCACTAAGGCATGCATGGGTTTTGTCCCCAGTCAATCTTCAGCATCCTGAAACAGAAGGGCCCCCTTCTGAGGCAAAAGGGAAGAAGGGAAGCTTATGCAAAACACAGAAAGGTCCCCTTTGCCATTTGACACAGAACTGGACAGCCTTGGGGCACCGGGGTTGAGCGTCTGACTTTGGTTCAGGTCATGATCTCACAGTTTGTGGGTTCGAGCCCCGCATCTCACTCTGTGCTGACATCGCAGAGCCTGCTTCAGATCCTCTGTACCCCCTCTTTCTGCACCTCCCCCGCTCACTCGCTCTCTCTCTCAAAAATAAAAAAAAACAAACATTAAAAAAAAAATGCCTAGGACAGGACAGCTTCCATTGACCCAACTCTTACACTTCTGCACCCCTCACTTCTATCCAGTCTCCACCCTGCCCACCAGTCCTCTGCTTAAAACCCAACAGATCCCTACTGTACTCAGAATAAAATCCCCTCCTTTTTTTTAGTTTATTTATTTCTTTTAGTAACCTCTACACCCAACACGGAGCTCAAATTCACCACCCTGAGATCAAGAGTCACATGCTCCTCTGAGCCAGCCAGGTGCCTCCCACCTCCTTTTTATGGCCCACGAGGCTCTATGTGAGCTGACTTCCAACCATCCCTCCTTGCTCAGCTACCACTCTCCCCTTCACTGCCCATACTCCAACCATACCAGCCTCCTTTCTGTCCTTGACTACAATGAGTTTATTTCTGTCTCAGGGCCTGTGACTGGCTGTTCCCTCTGCCTGATACACTCTTCCCCCAAATCTTCCCATGACTGGCTCCTTGTCAGGGTCCAATGTCAACATCGTCTCTTCAGAGGTGCTCTCCTACATCACAGTATCTAATGTTGACCCTTCTGTTCCACCCCCACTCCAGACACCCTATCTTATCACCCCGTTCCTTCTCTTCATTATACATCCCTAGTTGAAGTTTCAAATCTTTCGTCATCAGCCAAAACTGGAGGACAAAGCCCACCATTTGCAACTCCTAAGCTGTAACTCCTACTAGGAATTTCGCCTGCATTAACGTGCAAATGACTGGCACACTCCTACTCATCCTTCAGAAGACCCTGATTGAAAGCCCCGTCTGGCCCCCTCGGGTTACCTCAGACCCGGCCGGGTCGCACTAGAACGGGTCCTCTCAGTTCGAGGGACTCCCCTGGCAGAGGCGGCTCCTCCAGGGTCCTGTGAGTCCGTGGGACTCCAGCTGCTCCGGGCCGACGACTGGGGAGAAAACAAGCCAACAGGCAGGCTGGGGCGGGCGCCTGAGGGGCTGCGGAGAAGGCCCAGAGCCTGGGAGCGCGGCGGAGCTCCCGTCCCCCGCGCCCCCGTTGGCCGGCCCGGCGCCCCTTGACCTGGGCCCGCACCTCACCGCCCGGAAGCCAGCCGGTTCTCACCTCTTCCCACAGCCGGAGCCCTGGCTTCCGGCGCCTCTGTCATCGGAACCGGAAGTCTCGGCGGTTGCTGGGTTGGGCCGGACCCGCCCACTCGCGGCCTCGCGGAGGGGTGGCCGTCCCTGGAGCCCAGCTTTGGGCCGGAGCACCGGGCTTTCCCCTCCCGCACTCCAAGAGTGGAGTCGCCCGCAGGAGGTGCCTTGCCGCCGGAAGCCGCGCCTCCACCCGTCCGGCGGTCGCCTCTGGGCTTCACCCGGCGTCCGCAACCGCCTGCAGAGCTGCGACCCTCCCAGTCGGCAGAAAGGAATCGTGCCGACCGCTTGCCCCCCCGGCGGGGCTTGCGTGTGCCTGGTCGGCCCGACTTCTCCACCCGGGTCGCAGCGGCCCAACTCGGCTCTCGGAAGCCCCAATCCCAGAACAACTGTGCCTCCCGGGCTCCTTGCCTTTCGCCTTCCTTCAAAGGGAGGACAATACCGAACAGCATAGTGCATGTTAGGGGTGCAGGAGTTAAACTTTCCTGATGTAGTTCCTTGGTGCTCTTTATGAAACATCAAGCGATGTTTAAATTTTCTTTTTTCTGCCCAGCCTCGCTGGTCCCCTAAGCTTGTACTTGATATACCCACTGGGTATTCAACAGAAGGATTCTGCTGGTGGCGGGGGTCCCAGCCCCTGTCTGGCTGCCCTCTGAGAACGCCCCCCTTGAGGGGCGGGGAGTGGGGTGAGGAACAGATGGGGGTTGCAAAATGGCCCTAAGGAGGAAGGGTAAGGGTTAGGAAGGGAGAGGCGACCTAGGCCAGGACGGAATTCACGATACTCCCCAGACCCCCTTCCTACACAGGGGAGGGGCAGAGAAGCCCCCCATTTCCTCCGCAGGCCTCAGGGATTTGGACTAGAAACAGCCCAAGAAAAAAGACTCTTATCTCTTGTTTCCGTGATTTCCTGCTCCCTTTTGGGGCTAGTCTCATTCCAGAGCAACCTCCCCTCCAACCCTCCAGGCCTCCTTTCCACCTCCACCCACCCCCAAATGCTCTTGCGCAATCTTGTTTTCGGTATAGCGTTTGCACAATCCAGTTGTGTTTTTTTTTTTTTTTTAATTTTTTTTTCAACGTTTATTTATTTTTGGGACAGAGAGAGACAGAGCATGAACGGGGGAGGGGCAGAGAGAGAGGGAGACACAGAATCGGAAACAGGCTCCAGGCTCTGAGCCATCAGCCCAGAGCCTGACGCGGGGCTGGAACTCCCGGACCGCGAGATCGTGACCTGGTTGAAGTCGGACGCTTAACCGACTGCGCCACCCAGGCGCCCCAGTTGTGTTTTCTTGATAGCATTTGACTTGAAATTGTCTTGTGTGTTTATTCGTTTATTCTGTCTTCCGGCCCCTAACACATACCCTTTAGGATAAAAGGTCCTTTGGAGTAAGGACTCTAGACTCATCACTGCTGTATCCTCAACACCACGTTCTTGGGACACAGTAAGTGCTCAAAAATACTCCGAGGTAGCCAATATCCTCTACTCCTGAAGGAGGAAAGGCAGCTCCAAAACCTTATGACACACACAGGGAAGAGGGCAGTCCACAGTCCCCCGCGGGAGCGTCGTCGGAGCATCCTGGAGAGCCTTGTCTGTGCACCTTAAGTCTGGGTGGTCCTGGCCAACTGGGGGGCCGCGGGGGCGGAGAGTTCGGTCAACCCTGCCTGGGGCCACGGGCTGGGCTGAAGCCGCCTCCAAGTCAGCAGGACCTCACAGACCTTCCCTAACGCCCCAGGCTTCCTCACTTCCTCTGGGGGAGCCTTTGCTTGCCTCACAGTCCAGGTGGGCGGGAGTAAAACCTGCCTTCTCCAAGGGCTTTGAATGTCCCGCGCGCGCACCCGAGCACACGTTTTTTGTGTCTCTGCCTCTTTCTCTTTCACACACGCACACACACTCACACCCCAGGCCATTTCACCTCTGTCATTGTCCACTCCACATGTGGCTCTCCTTGCATGTCGGTTACTTCTCAAAGTGCACGGATGATTTTGTCGTGCTCATTGGGACTATGGCTTTTGTTTCGTTTTGTTTGAGGGGTGGAGTGCTTCAAAGCAGAAAAACCTAGCTGTTCTCCACTAACTCAGTAATAGTCTGTTTAATCTTTTGCTAGTTTCCTAGGATTTTTTTTTTTTATTTCAGTCCTCAATACATGTCCATTTTATTTTGCAGGGGGTGGTGCACAGTATGACTTATTTTTTCCCCAAATTTGTGTCCAGTTATCCCAGTACCTCTTATTAAATGATCCTACCTTACCCCTTCGTTTTGAAGCCTTTTATCATAACATTAAGATTTTCTACTGAATGGAATCTATTTCTGGCTCTTCATTCCTTCCATTGAGATGTATTATTTTTACACCAATGTCATATTGTTTTACTTGCTAATGTGGTGGGATTATACACTGTTCACAAAAAGAAAAAAAAAATAAGGAAAAGCAAGGTGATTGAGGAAGCAGATCACTGTTGCTGGGGATGGGGACCAGGCTGACTAGGAGAAGCAGGAATTTGGAGGGGGGCGGGTGACGGAACTATTCTGTATCTTGATTGTAGTGTTGGTTACGCAACTTTCTGCATTTGTCAAAGCTCTAAAAACTACTCTTGGGGCACCTGGGTGTCTCAGTTAAGCATGTCTGACTCTCGATTTCAGCTCGGGTCATGATCTCGCATTTCGTGTGTTCGAGCCCTGTGTCAGGCTCTGTGCTGTCTCCCTGTCTCCCTTTCTCTCTGCCCCTCCCCTGCTTGCTCTCACTCTCTCAGAAATAAACATTACAAATTTTTAATAAGTAATAAATTAAAGCTATACTCTAAAAATGAAGCATTTTCCTCTATGTAAATTATACCTTAAAAATGCTGGAGGGGAACGGGACCGGATACACAAAGAGCACGTTAGATAAATCTCTAAACAAAAAGCAGGGGTGGGGGGTGCCTGGGTAGCTCAGTTGGTTAAGCATCTGACTCTTGATTTGGGCTCAGGTCATGATCTCTTGGTTCGTGGGATTGAGCCCCACATTGGGCTCCATGAGGAGCCTGCTTGGGATTCTCTTTCTCTCTCTCTCTGCCCCTCCACCCAACTCGTTCTCATGCTCTCTCTCACTTGTGCTCTTTCTCTCTTTAAATAGGTAAACATTTTTTTTAAAAAGAGAAAAAGTTCTTGGATAAGACAATCCCAGGCATGTTCTTCTGAAAACAGCCTTCCTCACTTCTCAGAATGAGCCCTGGAAGGCCAGGCTAGGTAAAAGATGGAGTCTCCCCTGATAGCTGGGGTAAGGGCAGTAACAGGTAATGCAGATCCTGCCTGCCCTCTGTGGAACCTCTGTGGAGCATCAGGCCTCAGCCTGTGGAGCTCAAGTTGCCTGCTCAGGCCCTGTCTCTTCTTCCACCCTCCAGGTGGCACCCAACCAGTCTCCTGCGCCTTCTCTCTCTTCCTGCCCCTCCTTGCCAGGCTTTGGTTCAGGCCAAGAGCAGCTGCTTCATCTGCAGGCTCTGGAGCAAAATGAAAACGTAAGGCTCCTTGTTCAAACATCATTATAATTTCAAGATGGCGGGGCGCCTGGGTGGCTCAGTCGGTTGGGCATCAGGCTTCGGTTCAGGTCATGATCTCACGGTCTGGGAGTTCAAGCCCCATGTTGGGCTCTGCGCGGACAGCTCAGAGCATGGAGCCTGCTTCAGATTCTGTCTCCCTCTCTCTCTGCTCCTCCCCGGCTCGCACTCTGTCTCTCTCTCAAGGAAAAAAAAAAGTTCAAGATGGCAACAGGAGACCATTGCACCAAGTGTAGGGCCCTTCCGAGTGTTGTCCTGAATGACAACACACAGGAAAAGCTAGTCCCAGTTCGGGCTCTCCCCCTTGGCTGCCTGAGGGACCCACCCACAGCCACAGATGAAGTCTTCCTGTGCCAACTTACCAGGCGGTCTAGGGGCTGCCCTGCCTCCCTTCAAACCCTTATAGACAGGACCCACCCTTGGACCTGCCCCACACCTCTCTGTGTCCAATGCCAGGCCAATCCTGGATGCTCTCGTCCCACCCTGCTCCTGAGGAAATCCTCCCAACTTCCCTTCCTCAGAGAAGTTTATCCTTGCTGAAGAAAAAAAAAAAAAATTACTCATGACACTCATCAGTTTGGTAAGGAAGACTTTATTCAAGAGAGGCTACTGCAATGTGGAGTTTTGTAGTAGGGCAGAGAGAGTGGGCTCAACTTCAAATACAGCAAGGAAAAGTAGAATTTACAGCCAAGGAGCGGGTAGGGGTCAGTGGATGAAAAATTACTGAGAGGAAACCTTGGGGGTCTGGAAGCAGATTCTGGCTAAATGCACCTCACAGGAGTCTTACTGAAGGCAGGCCAGCCGTCGCCCGAGGGGGTTGGTGGAAGATTACATGAGGAACATAGTCAGATACGGACCAAGGGGGAGTCTGGCTAAACTAAGCAGAAATCTTGCCAGAACCGGACCGTATAAGGAGACACCTGCCAAGGTCAGGCACAAAGAGAGGTCAGAAAAGTGCCTGACCAAAATATGGTCAAATACACACCCCTCATCACCTGCAGTGAAAAGTGAGCCAGCCCGAACTCCACAGTACTTACGCCTTACCTTTCATGACATATTTCGCTTTTGCTTTGTTGCAAGAAATAGCACATTTCCTTTTCTTTTCCGAATCTGATAGAGCTAAAACCCACCTACTAGGGTGGGGAGTTATGCAATCTGAATTGTCACCATGGGGCATGTGTCCTCTTTGAAAAAAGGCTCCCTCATACCTATAGATATACCCAGTCTGAGAAATTTGCTTCTCCATGCGCCGTTGACTGGCCACTGTGATGTAGAGGTCTGCACGCTTTTGGCCCGGTCACTACCATGGACAGATGTGTGTGCTGTCTCCCTCCCCCACCCACAGGGAAAGGTCATGGGGGCAGGGGCGTTGGCCACTGTGGCTTCCTCATCTGAGAACCAGGCCTGGCCCTGAGGGAGGCGTGCAGTACCTCCCCA